GTAAAAATTCTTTCCCAGTTTTCTGCTTCCCCCCTAATCTTGGTTGCATTGACTTTGTGCAAAAACTTTTAAATTAAAGTAATCAAAATTATCCATTTGCATTTCATAATGTTCTCTGTCTCTTGTTTGGTCATAAATTCTTCTGTTCTCCATAAATCTGACAGGTAAACTATTCCTTGCTGTCCCAGTTTGCTTATAGTTTTAGCCTTTATATCTACATCATGTACTCATTTTGACTTTATTTTGGTATACAGTATAAGATGTTGGTCTATGCCTAGTTTCTGCCATACTCTTTTCCAGTTTTCCCAGCAGTTTTTGTTAAATAGTGATTTCTTATCCCAGAAGCTGGAGTCTTTGGGTTTATCAAACTGTAGATTGCTATAGTCATTGACTACTGTGTCTTTGTACCTAACCTATTCCACTGATCCACCACTCTACTTCTTAGCCAGTACCAAGCAGTTTTGATGAATGCTGCTTTATAAATACAATTTAAGATCTGGTATGGCTACGCCAACTTCTCTTACATTTCTTTTCATTAATTCTTTTAATATTCTGAATCTTTTGTTTTTCCAGATGAATTTTGTTATTATTTTTTCTAGCTCCAGAAAATAATTTTTGGTAGTTTGATTGGTATGGCACTGAATAAGTAAATTAATTTAGGTAGAAAATTGTCATTTTTATTATATTAGCTCATCCTACCCACAAGCAACTGATGTTTTTCCAGTTAATTAGATCTGACCTTATTGGTGTGAAATGTGTTTTGTAATTGTGTTCATATAGTTACTGGGTTTGCGGCAGGTGGACTGCCAAATATTTTATAATGTCTACAGTAACTTTAAATGGAATTTCTCTTTCTATCTCTTGCTGTTGGACTTTGTTAGTAATATAAAGAAATGCCAATGGTTTATGTGGGTTCATGTGTAATTTTTTATGCTTTTCTTGATGTTTGAATTTAAAAGTCAGATTTGCTAATCATCTCTGGTCTTTTCATTAGGAGTTCTTGAACGTCTACTATTTTATTAAGTGTTCATTTTCCCCTCACTAGGATAAAACTCAATTTTTCTGGGTAGGTCATTCTTAGTTGTAATTCTACCTCCTTTGCTTTCCAGAATGTGATATTCCAAGCCCTTCACTCCTTTAATGTGGAAGCTGTTAAATCTTATATGATCCTTACTGTGGCTTCACAATATTGGAATTATTTCTTTCTGGCTGTCTGAACTATTTTTTTTTAACCTGGGAACTCTAGAATTTGGCAATAATATTCCTGGGAGTTTTCATTTGGGCTTTTCTTTCAGGTGGTGATTAATGAATTTATTTTTCAATTTTCTTTTTACCCTCTGGATATTGGGGTAGTTTTCTGATAGTTTCTTAGAATTTGATGTGTAGGTTCTTTTCTTAGTCATACCTTTTAGGCACTTCAATAATTCTTAAATTACCTCTCTTCAATCTATTTTCTAGGTCAGTTGTTTCTCCAATGACATAGTTCACATTTTCTTATGGTTTTTTTTTTTATTCTTTTGACTTCGTTTTTATTGCTTCTTGATGTCTCATGGAGTCATTAGCTTCTGCTTGCCTGATTTTAATTTTTGAGAAATTATTTTCTTCAGTGAGATTTTATAACTCTTTTTCCTTTCGGCCAATTTTGTTAAGATTTTCTTTTTCTCAGTGATTTTCTTGTATATCCTTTTCCATTTGGCCTAGTCTTTTCTTTAAGGAGTTCTTCAGTGAATTTTTGTGCCTCTTTTACCATTAGGCCAATTTTGTTTTTTTAAGGTGTTATTTTCTTCAGTATTTTTTGTTAACAGCTTATACCAAGCTGTTAATTCTCTTTTCATACATCACTCTCATTTCTTTTCCCATTTTCCCTCTACCACTCTTTCTTTCACTACACCCTTTCCTTGACTCTTTCAGAAATTCTTTCTGGCCTTGGATCCAATTAGCAATTTTCTTTGTGGCTTTGTTTGTAGCTATTTTCACATTGTTGTCGCCTGAGTTTATGTCTTGATCTACTCTGCCACCATAATAGCTTTTTATGGTTAAATTCTATTTTTCTTGTTTGCTTATTTTCCTGGACTATTTCTTGACTTCAAACTTTATGTAAAATTTGGACTCTGCTTACCTGGGGTGGGGGTGGGGAGAGAGGCACTTTCTTAAGCTTGAGGTTTTTTTTGTGCTGCTGTTTTAAGAACTAGTTGTTGTTTGTTTTTGGAGGGGGGTGGGGGTTAGCAAATGTTTGGTGCTTCCAAGGTGGTGTGATCCTGGTAGAGGTATGGTTACTGCTCTCCTGTTTTGCATTCTGGTCTTTACCCATGTAGGGCCCCTGGTTTCCTGCAGCAACAAGAGCTCTAACACTTTCTTTGCCTTGGAACTGCAACCTAGAACTGTGTGTGACACAATTGAGTTGCCAATCAGCGCTAGCTGTAGGAAGTGCCAGCAAAGGATCCACTGTAACCTCTTTCTGACCAGCGGTCTAACCCCTTAACTGTCTCTGGGCTGAGAGCAGCTGCTGTTGGTGTGGCCACTGATGCTGCTGCCACACATGTGAGCTCTGGAGAGGCCTCCACACTGCTGTCACAAGCTTCTACTGCTAACTTAAATTATCTTAGGCCAGAAAACTGTCTCACTTTGACCTTTTATTGACTCTTCTAGTCCAAATTTGACTTGAGGTGTTATTTTAAAGTTGTTTGTAGGGGAATGTTGAGAGAGTTCAGCTGGAGTTGCCTCTATTCTGCCATATTGGCTTCAAAAACTTTTTTTTTTTTTAAAGAAAAGGGATATTCCTTTCTTGGCATTGTTAAAGATTGTCTAACAATAGGGAATTCCAGAGAACAAGAAATGGCGAAATTATTAAGTGATTTTACAATTATATATAATTACTCCCTTGCTGACATTTATTTACAATGAAAAATTATGTACTTTGGTCTGTTGACTGTCATGGCATTTAATTCAAAAGTTAAATAGAAATAAATTCCATTTTTAACCTTCTGTTTTGGATATCATGTTTTGAGTGGCAGATAATTTAATTTTTTTACATTCTACCATGAAACTCAAATGTTGGTAACTCTACCCTACCAATAGAAAAGCGAATACCCTCTTTCTGTCTCTCCTTATGTGTAGCAGTGGTGCCCATGTCTTTCTCTTTGTTGTTGTTGTTGTTCATCCTTCATTCTTCCGGAAGACCAATGACATCATGAGGGTAGTGGCTAAAACCCAGATTTCCTGACTCCCACTTCATTGGAAAGAAGTATAAAGTTCATGTAAGACAGATTCATTGAGGCCCATTTTATATTACTTTCATTTAATTGTGATAATGTCCCTCAACTTTTTTTAAACTACCGGTGAACTAATGTTTTCTATGTAAGACTACCAATCAACTTGCTTATATTTGAGTTTCCTTTCTTGTACATATTCACTTATTCTCATTCCTGAAGTTAATATTATCTGTCTGATATGTTCATCTTAAATGACCCTTCTGTTGTGTTTTGATGATGTTACTATATGAAGGATAATTAGTACTATATATAAAGACACACTTGAATATCATTTTCCAGCTTAGCAGAGAAAACCAATAATTTGTTCAGAATTTTCTCTTAAAATAGAAAAATAGTTGTAATAATGATTATAGTCTTTCACTAATGAGTTAGTCTAATGTTTCATTTTAGCATGGAAGTAGTCTGGAGTTCTCAAAAATTATGTCAGGAAAGCATAAGTTCTGGCAGATCTTAGCAAATTAGAAAGCCTTTAAGTAGAATCCCAGTTAAATATTGCATATATCTTATCTAAGGCTGAGCTTAGATATTTCTGTAGAAGCTAACACCCAGAAAGTTGATGATGAACTTTTTGACCACCACAATTCACAAAGACCATCTACTGTCCAAAGAGTCATGATATATTTCAGTTAGTGTCCTATCCCTATGAAACCATAAATTTTTTAAAGTTTTAAAATAATAATAATAACTTTTGTATCACATGTTGCACTTTAGTAGCTCTATAAAATAGGCAGTAAAGGCATTATTATCCTCATTTTACAAGCAAGAAAACTAGAAGGCCTAGAAATATTAAGTGACTTGCCCAAGTTCACATAGCATATTATTGGCAAATTTATGAATAGAACCTAGTCTTTTTGACTTTTTGATCAGTACTCTTTTCATTATCATCCTTGTGACCCTGAAATAAATTTTAAAATGTTATTTTGGGAGATATTACCAAGGTCATGCAGTAGCAGGAAGAGGGATAGCCAAGCTGTCCCCAGTAACTTCTCCATATAAATCGAGAAAGTGACCCAGATTAAGTCATGATAGAGAAATCCAAGAAAAAAATAACAGTGAGTCATTTTTTCATCCTAGGTCACCATAGGAAGACAAAGCAGACTGGGTACAAGTCTACCCAGATACTGAACAAAAATAAGAACACTTAATAAGATATAGTGCTTTCCTTAATGGAGCTTACAATCTAGTAGGGATATGCATAACATTTCTTTGGATGCTTCATTGAATCCATGATCTCATTTAATGTCAATACAGATTACAAACTATCCATACATTTTTGTCATACATGATTCTCTCCCATATCCTTGTAAATTAATCGTGTATCTATTATAAAGACCTTGTCCTAGATTTTTATTAACATTTTGCGAGTATTATCTATTGTTTCTTTTTGTAACTACACAATAAACATAGTAGTATTACAAAATAGTACCTTTATTGAAAGTATCAAGGAAGACAAATTATTATTATTTTTTTTGTGAGGTAGTTGGGGTTGTGACTTGCCCAGGGTCACACAGCTAGTGAGTATTTTGTCTCTGAGGCCGGATTTGAACTCAGGTACTCCTGAGTACAGGGCCGGTGCTCTATCCACTGTGCCATTTAGCTGCCCCAACAAATTATTTTTTTGGAAGTGGAGAAAGTATGTACTGAATGAAGAACACCAAAGATGGCTTTATAATGAATGCAGTAATTGAACTGGGATTATCTAATTTTTTTTCTCCATCTGCTATTTAGGGAGTACAGACCCCTTGGTGCCAAATCCTTGCTATGATGGAAGCCATACATGTGACATAACAGCTCGGTGTCTGGTGGGAACAGGACTAGCCTATTCATGTGAATGTGCAGCTGGCTACCAAGGAGATGGAAGAAATTGTTTTGGTGAGGGATTCTTTATCTGTTCATTTGGCTTTGTGTTTTGTAGAACCAAATATGACGTTTTCTTTGTATTTACCTTTGCTCAACAAAAGTGGGAATGCCATGTGGGCCTGTGTTGTTGATGCCAAGAACAATTCTTTTAAGGAAAAAAATATTCTGTGGACAATATTTTAGTGAAAAGTCTCGGGAGATTATTTTTGGCTGGAATATGGAACATCTGCTGTTCATCAAGATTCCTGAATTATTTGAGCTTCAAGTTTGTATTTTTAAAAACTATTTTATGGACATTTTAGTCTGATCAACAAAAAGTTTTCAGTGTCTCTTAACATTCACATGCTGTTATGTCCATCTGTTACATTCTAACAACTATAGTCCAAGTCTTATTCACTTTAAAAATTAAAAGTTTTACTTTTGTGCTGTGTATTTCTGACATGCTGCACAGTATTTGAAAAATGTTAAACTGTAAAAGAATTTCCAGTATAATGATAGTTGGGAAAGTGAAAGAGGGCTGTAGAGAGAGAGAAGAAATTCTTCATAAAACAAATTCAAATATTTGATGTATTTTTAAAACACATTTCTTTCTAATTATATTATTCTTGACAAATTTGCCCTTTCTAACTTTTATAAATAATTTATCTTTTCTTTTTTTATGCTTTTTTAAATTTAAATTTTATTAACTTATTTTTATTTATCAACAATCACTTCCATATGCTTTTGACTTTAAAATTTTTCTCCCCCTTCCTCCACACCACCCTCCCAAGACAGTGCACAATCTGATATAGGCTATACATTTACATTCCTATTAAACATATTTTCACATTAGTGAAGTTTTAAGTAAAAATTAAAACCAATAGGAGGTTCATCTGATGGTTCATCAGAAAGAGGAAACAAAACTCAACAGAAGAGAAAAAAAGATAGCAATTCAACTTTCACAGTTATGACTACTATCTGTGTCTTTTTCTCCATCCTTTTCCCCCCCCGTTCATGCTTTTCTTTCTCCTTTCCCCCCCACTAGTATTTTGCTTTTGACTACCACCTCCTTCAGTCTCTCCTCCCTTCTATTATCCCTTTCCCTTTTCTTCCCCTTTGCCCTTATTGCTTCTTCCCTCCCTTCTATTCTGCCCTCCCTTTTCTTTCCCCTTTTTGCTCCTACTGCCTACAGGGCAAGGCAGATTTCCATACCTAACTGATTATGTTATTCCCTTCTTGAGCCAAATCTGATGAGAGTAAGGTTCAAACAATGCTCACCCCCCTCCCTTCTTTCCCTCTGCTGTAATAGGATTTTCTGTCTTTTCCTGTAATGTAATTTACCCTTGTCTGCCTCCTCCTTTCTCAGTACATTTTCTAAGATCAGACTAATCCACTTACTTGGATCCATTTAACCTACCTGATTAGATACTTTTTTTTTATCATTACAGTAAAGTCAACTAATATCCACCCCCTTTATGTATACTCCTTCAACATGGTGTAATAACAATACAGTTCTCAAGAGTTGCAAGTGTCATCTTCCCTTGTAGGAATGTAAACAGTCCACCCTTATTAACAACATTTTGTATCTTTCTGTCCCATTTACCTTTTTATGTCTTTCTTGAATCTTGTACTTGAAGATCAAATTTTTTGTTGAGCTCTGGTCTTTTTATGAGGAAGGTTTGGAAGTCCCCTATTTCTTTGAATATCCATCTCCTCCCTTGAAAAATCATGCTCATTTTTGCAGGGTAGTTGATCCTTGGCTGCAATCCAAGCTCCTTTGCCTTATGGAATATCATGTTCCATGCCCTGCAGTCTTTTAATGTAGAAGCTGCAAGGTCCTGTGTAATCCTGACTGTGGTTCCATGATATTTAAATTGTTTCTTTCTGGCTGCTTGCAGCACCTTCTCTTTCATCTGGTAATTTTGGAATTTTGCTATTATATTCCTTGTGCTTGTCAATTTGGGATCTCTTTCAGGTGGTGAGGTGTATTCTTTCTATGTTTATTTTACCTTCTGGTTCTAGGACTTCAGGGCAGTTTTCCTTTATGATTTCCTGAAAGATACTGTCCAGGCTCTTTTTTTCATCATGATTTTCAGGTAGTCCAATGATTTTTAAATTGTCTCTCCTGGATCAATTTTCCAGGTCGGTTGCTTTACTGATGAGGTATTTTATATTTCATCCATTTTTTTTTGTTTCTGTTTGACTAATTCTTGCTCTGTCATAGAGGTATTAGTTTCCATTTGTCCAATTCTAGTTTTTAACAGATTGTTTTCTTCTGTTAGTTTTTGTACTTCCTTCTTTAATTGGCCAACTGTAGTTTTAAGGGATTTGTTTTCTTCAGTGTACTTTTTTTCTAGTTGACCAATAGTATTTTTTAAGGACTCTTCTACCTCTCTCATTAGACTTTTAAAATCCTTCCTGAGCTCTTCCAAGAAGGCTTTTTGGGCTTCAGACCAGTTCATGTTCCCTTTTGATGTTGCAGATGTGGGTTTGTTGACAATGTTGTCCTCTTCAGAATTTCTGTCTTGATCTCCACTCTTCTCATAATATGAATCTTTGGTACATTTCTTTTTACTCATGGTTTCTTTATTCCCTGGCCTTTAAAGAGATTGAGCTCTCCTTCTGGGGAACAGACGGTACTGACCCAAGCTTCTTGTGTTGGGAGCCTAGGTCTTGGTCACTGGCTTTGTGTGCTGGGACCTCTTATGTTGGCAATTGGAGGCTGTAGGGTTTTGGCAGCTTACCTGGTGTTGGGCTGGAATCAGCAAAGCTGGAACTTTCAGGCAGCTGTAGGTTGCCTGCTTTTCCTTTCCTTTAGCTTTCTTCAGCTCCTTTTAGAAGGGTACTGCAGGGTGTTTATCTGCCTAGGGCCCCTTGCAGTGCTGCCTTCCTCATTTCTGCTAATGCACTGGGAGATTCCTTTGCAGTAGAGTGCCTAGGCACCTGGTGGTTTTCTGAGCTGTTCCAGGTGTTGGTGTTTGCCTGCTGTACCACCTGAGCTTCAGGATCTCCTCCTGGTTAACACTTAGTTCTGACAGCTTACCTGGTGTTGGGTTGGAATCAGCAAGGCTGGGACTTTAGGAAGACTTTAGGTTGCTTTCTTCAGCTCCTTTCAGATGAATGCTGCAGTTTGCTTAGCCTCCTGGGGCCCTTTGTAGTGCTGCTTCCCTTATTTTTGCTGATGCACTGGGAAACCCATTTGCTGGGCTGCTGCACTGCTGTCCCCCATCTTTCTTCTAGTTCAGCTGTTCCAGGGTTTCTTTTTTCCCTAGGGTGATATTTTCTGGGTTTTCAGAGGTTGATAGGTGAAGGTGAGAGCAACTACCTTTTCACTCCACCATCTTGGCTCCAATAATTTATCTTTTCTAAGACTATTCAATTCAGTTAAAAATGTTAAGTGCTAGAGATCTTCTTGATAAAATCACATTAAGATTTGAAACATTTAAAAAAAAATTTTAGTTTAATGGAAATTTTTCTCACTTCCTTCTATTTAGATGTTAATGAATGTGCAACAGTTTCCCACCTATGTGGCCATAATTCTGTGTGTATCAACTTGCCAGGGAGCTACAGATGTGAGTGCCAGAGTGGTTATGGATTTGCAGAAGATAAGCATACCTGTATTTGTAAGTCCATAATAATTTTTAATTTTTGCTTATTTTTTGGCCAAAAATAATGGTTTTCGAGTATTTTCTCCCTAGCAGTTAACTCTATAGAATGCTGCTGAATCCTCTGAAATATACTTCTGCAATTTACATTGAAATCTTTGAAAATTGTGATTACACTCCAGTATTATAACTTTTTTAAGTAGATGCTTTAGAAACTTAATTATTGAAGAAAACATTTATCTAATCTTAGTCTCCTAGTCAACTCACACAACCATACTCCCTGAATCTATGGTAACTTCTTTGTAATAGATAACCACCACTATAGACCAAGATTAAGAATTCCTCAAATGAAAATGAAGGTTGAGACCACAATTTAAAAATACTCTATCCTGTTTTTCTGTCTAAGGATCTCAATTTGTTGTAGATATACCTGTGTTATAGTTCCAAGAGAGAAGTTCCATTAAGGAGGAATAGTGTTAAAACAGAAACAAGTGGGGTTCAAAACTTAACTTGTTTATGAAGTCATTCACATTAGAGAAAATAAGAGAAACATTTTGGTCTAGTGAGTTTGTGGAGCAGTATTAATGTTAGCAGAGCTTTGTGGCACAGGTGTAAAATATTCTTATTTTAAAAAATGAATTATGTCTTAAGTACAACCTTAATTAGATCTTAATTATGTCTGAAGCTGAAGGCAACTAGGTGGTGAAGTAGATAGAGCACTTAGCTAGGAATGAGGGAGAAATGAACTAAAATCTGGCCTTAAACAATTACTAGCTGTGTGATCCTGGGCAAGTAATTTAATTTCTATCTGTCTGTGTTTCTCCATCTATAAAATAGGGATAATAATACCACCTGTATCTCAGAGTTTTGTCAGGATCAGATGAAAAAAATATTAGTTAAGTGTTTAGCACAGTGCCTGACATATGGTAGGTGCTTAATAAATTATCCTTTCCTTCCTGCTCTTCCCCTGAAGGTGAACTTTCACAGGTGTGAGAAAGGAGCATATAAAGACCAAAAATCAAAACAATGGGTACCATGTTTGTTACAGTAATAGTAGGATTATGCATCACACTTTTTCTCTGGGAGCCAGAAGTGCTTTACAGACTGATAAACTTGAATCAAGAAAAACTAATCTTCAGAGTTAGACCATAACTGCCTAATGAAATTTGATATCCTTTGCTTTTCTTTTCTTAGTAATTGTCCCACCATCCAATCCTTGTGAAGAAGGCAGTCACAATTGTGCTCCTGTTGAAAGGGCCCAATGTATTTACCATGGAGGCAGTTCTTACAGCTGTATTTGCCTTTCTGGTTATGTTGGCAATGGACATGAGTGTACTGGTAAGCACAGGCAAATCAAAACTACTATAAGAAAGTAATATTTTGGCTTTCTGCCTTTTCATATACAAACTATATTTGTAATGTCTAGATGATTTTTTTTTGCTTGTACAAAAACACAGAGTCTTTTTAAGTGTTCAGAAATTTGCTATATTTTCTAGCTTATGGACCTTTTCTTGCCCTCTAACTCATGTTTTGGGTCTATAGGTTATACATTCCTCCTTTCTAGTTGCAGGTAGATAGATATAGTTAAAGATAGATCTGTTGCATGGAGATGAGAGCGAGGTGCAGTCCAGCACAGGCTGCACCAGTGCAGACCACACTCCACCAAACCAGAGCAAGCATTTGGGAACTGAATTAGTGGTAGCAGTGGCAATTTTTCTGGAGCTCTCAGCCCACAGAGAATAAGGGAGTCAAACAACTGGTTAGAAGGAGATTACAGGGAAACCTTTTGCTGGCACTGAGGACATAACTCTATTGCATTGCCCATACTCAGATCTGGCTTGCAGTCCTGAGTTGCAGTCCCCAGGGTGAAGAGTAACACACAAGAGCTTGCAGTCATAGTGGAGCAGGGACCCTCATCACAGTTCCAAGGCTGAAAAAAGTACTTGTAGTCACTGATATACCAGAGCACAGGCCAGGAGAATAGTAAACACACCACTCCTTAAATCATACCACCATGAAACTACTGAAAACTTATAGGTCCCCCGAATTAGCTCTGAAAACAGCTGCCTAAAAAACTTTAAAGCTTGGGACAGTGCACCTTCCATTCCGGGAGCAGAGCCCCACATTTACATGAAGAGTCAAGAAATAGGCTGGAAAAATGAGCAAACAGCAGAAAAATATCCTGACTATAGTAAGTTACTATGGTGAAAGGGAGGATCAAAACACAAACTCAGAAGAAGATAACAAAGTCAAAACTGCTACATTCAAGCCTCAAAGAAAAGTGTGATTTGGTGTCAGACCCAAAAAAAGAATTCCTGAAAGAGCTCAAAAAGGGATTTAAAAAACCAAGTAAGAAAGGTAGAGGAAAAGTTCGGGAAAGAAATAAGAGTAATGCAAGAAAATCATGAAAAAAGAGCCAACAGCTTGATAAAGGAGACAAAAATACTGAAGAAAATAACACCTTAAAAAAACAGAACAAATCAAATGGTAAAAGACACAGAAATCCAATGAAAAGAAGAATGCTTTGAAAAGCAGAATTGGCCAAACAGAAAAAGATATACAAAAATTCACTGAAGAGAACTCCTTAAAAAGCAGAATTGGTTAAATGAAAAAAAGATGGACAGGAATTCACCAAAGAAAAGACCCTTAAAAATAGAATTTGCCAAATGGAAAAGGAGGTACAAAAGTTCGCTGAAGAAAATAATTCCTTAAAAATTAGAATCAGGCAAGTGGAAGCTAATGACTTCATGAGATATCAAGAAACAATCAAAATCAAAAGAATGAAAAAATAAAAGACAATGTGAAATATCTACTGGAAAAACAATTGACCTGGAAAATAGGTCCAGGAGAGATAATTTTAAAATTATTGGACTACCTGAAAATCAGGAGAGATAATTTAAAAATTATTGGACTACTTGAAAACCATAAATAAAAAAAAAGAGTCTAGACATCATTTTTCAAGAAATTGTTAAGGAAAACTGACCTGATATTCTAGAACCAGAGGGTAAAATGGAAATTGAAATAATTCACTGATTCTCCTGAAAGAGATCTCAAAATGAAAAATCTCGGGAATATTATAACCAAAGTCTGGAGCTCCTAGGTCAAGGAGAAGGTATTGCAAGCAGCCAAAAAGAAACAATTCAAATATGGAGCCTGAGTCAAATATGACAAGTCACAGTCAGGATGACACAAGATTTAGCAGCTCAGAGGTCTTAGAATATGATATTCTGGAGGACAAAGGAGCTAGGTTTACAACCAAGAAGGACCTACCCAACAAAACTGAGTATAATCCATCAGGGGGAAAATGGATATTCAATGGAATAGAGGTCTTTCAATCATTCCTGATAAAAAGAGCAGAGCTGAATGGAAAATTTGACTTTCAAATACAAGATTCAAGAAAAGCATAAAAAAATAAACAGCAAGGAGAAAACATGAGAGATTCAATAAGGTTAATTTGTTTGCATTTCTACTTGGGAAGATGATACTTCTAACTCCTGAGTACTTTCTCCTATTAGGTTGGTAGATGGAGTATACTTAGAAGGCATGGGTGTGAGTTGAATATGATGGAATGATTATCTAAAAAAATAAAATAAAGGAATAAGAAAGAAAAATGCACTGGGAGAAGGGAAATGAAGAGGTAGAATGGGGTAAGTTATCTCACATAAAAGATGAACAGTAAGGGAAGATGGGGGATGTAGGGGGGGTGCAAGGGAACTTTATTGTCATCAGGATTGGCTCAATGAGGGAATAACATCCACATTCATTTGAGTATAGAAATCTATCTTACCTTACAGTAAAGTAGGATTGGAAGGAGATAAAAGAAGGTGGAGAGGTGGCTAATAGTAGTGAAGGTGGATTGGGGAGGAGTCAGAAGCAAAACTTTTTTGAGGTTGGACAGGAAGAAAGGAGAAAAAAAAGGATAAATAGAAGGGGAAATAGGATGGGGGAGATATAAACAGTTAGTAATCATAACTGTGAAAAAAATTACAGCAGGTTTCTCTGATAAAGGCCTCATTTCTCAGACACATAGAGAACTGAGTCAAATTTATAAAAAAAAAAGAGCCATTCCTCATTTGATAAATGGTTGAAAGTATAAACATTCAGTTGTTTAGATTAAGTGATCAAAGCTATCATGTGAGAATTATATGATCATATAAAAAATGCTTTAAATCATTATTGATTAGGTGAAATGCAAATTAAAACAACTCACAGATACCACCCCACACTTGTCATATTTGATAGAAAAGGAAGATGATAAATATTCCCATGCCTCGAATGCTCTCCCTCCTCCTCTGAACCTACTGGCTTTTATATCCCCCCCCCAAATCTCATCTTCTTTCCTGACTCCTCTTCATTCTAGTGTGTTCCCTCTATTAATTATTTCCTATTTTTCTTATATATATGTATTACATGTATATATATATATATATATATATATATAATTTGTTTATGGTCTTCCCCATTGGAGTGTGAGTTCCTTGAGGGCTGCAACTGTCTTGTACCTCTTTTTGTGTCCATAGTGCTTGGTATAGTTGCCTGGCTCATGTAGCTGCTTAATAAATGTTGGATGATTGATTGATTGATTATAAGGAAGATCTAAACCCAAACTGTGACAATGACAATGGAACAGAGGGAAGGAATTTAGAGAACAGAGTAAACAGAAATTGGAAAGTAATTCATAAAGGGGAGGAAGGATTTTGAAAAAGCTTTGCTTTACTCTTTCCTATAGGAACAGACTTAGCAATCTATCTAACAACTCGGGACCATGATTTTTCCTGTCGACTGAATGTGTACACTAAAACATATCTGTTTTCAGTTGCTTCTCTGGGAGAATTTCTGTTCCTAAACCATATAAAACAATTGCTGGTTAGCACAGAATCTCAGACTTAGAGGTAAATCTCAGAAGCCAAGGGAAAAAAAAAGCCCAAGCATCAGATCAATAATTCCCTCCACACATACCAGACAACTGATCATTTAATCCTTGCGTGAAGTCTTCTAGTAAGAAGAAAGTGCTGGAAAGCATAAATATGCCTCTCCACAACCTTTTATCCATTTTTACCATGATCCATGACATAATTCCCTTAAGACTTTTAGTATAACAACCTCTAAGAGGAAAATAGTTCATTGGTATCAGAATTCTTCACACTGTGGGCCATAGGGACCTACATGGCTGAAAATAATCCACAAAAAAATGCTTCTCAGAAGCAAAACAAACATATCTCTTGTCACAGAAGATCCTATTTCCTGTCTTTGCCTTGCTACTGGAGTCTGTATTGGGAATACCTTTAATTATCTTCTCATTAACTGCAATTTGGTTTTTATTATCTCAGCTTTGTAAGATCTACAAATCATTGTTTTCAGGGTTTGTGTGGGATGGTGGAGGGAGACCTTGTGGTGAAAAACAGGTAACTAGTTACTGGAGGTTTGAGAGCCTTCTTACTTTATTTTGTTTAAAAAATTTGGAAAACAGCTGAAAAAAATGAAAAGAAAAAGCTGAGGCAGTTTTGAATTTAGGGGTTACTTCTATCAAAGGAGAACTAGTGAGAAAGTGACCAATAGGAAAAAAAGGGGAAAAAAGAATGCAATTTTTAAAAGACTTTAGGAAGAAGAAAAAGGCAGCTAGGTGGCACAGTGAATAGAGCAACTGGCCCTGGAGTCAGGAAGACCTGTGTTCAAATCTGGCCTCAGATACTTACTAGCTGTGTTACCCTAGGCAAGTCACTTAACCATGATTGTCTCCAAACAAACAAAAAAAGACAAAACAAAACAAAAACACTTGAGCTTAAGCAGATGAGCCAATAGGAAAGATATTTAGGAGAGAATGGGGCCTCCACATGAGATAAATGAATCCAGATATCAATGAATAAATATTACAAGATAAAGGAAAATGAATCAAAATCTGATGGGAAAGAGGAACATATAGATTTCCAAGAAGGCATGTTTCTGGATGGGTTGCAGGAAAAATGAGTCATGAAAGCAGAATTTATGGCCTGTACAGCAGAAATAATCAATAGAATAGAAAAGGCTTGAATCCATAATGGCAAAACTCCAGAGAGATAGGCAGAGAGAGAGAAAGGGAAAGAAAGACAGAGAGACACAGAGACAGAGAGAGAGAGACAGAGACAGAGAGAGAGACAGAGACAGAGACAGAGAATATGGTTGCTTGAGAATGCAAATATAGAGAAGAAAATCTAGAAGAAGAGAAGCATAAAATATTGGCATTAAAAGAAAAGGTGATCTCTATACAAGCAAATACATTGATCTCATATAAGATGCATAGATAATTCTCAGAAGAACCAGACAAGTAAAAATAATTTGAACACCACAATGCAAGAAATAATATTAAAAAACCACCAAAAATATCTGAATGTAGATAATAAAGTGCCAATTGAAAGCATCCACAATAGCTTCCAGAAAAAAAAAAACTAACCTGAAGATGAAAACTCCTAAACATAGTGGAAAAATTTAACAATTCCAATGACAAACAACAAATTCTGCAAGCAGACAGGATAAAAACTTTCAAATATAAAGGAAAAGAAGTTTGAATAATATAAAACTATTTTGCATCTATGAGAAACTGAAGGAGGGAATGAAATAATATGTTATGAAGAGCAAAGCAGCTAAAGATTCAAACCAAAGTGACATACCCTGTAAACTGGAGCCTATTAATGAGAAAAGATGGATTTTTTTTTGCACTTAATAGTATTTTATTTTTTCCAATTACATGTAAAGGTAGTTTTCAACATTCATTTTTGTAAGATGTTGAGTTCAAAATTTTTCTCCCCAAGACAGCAAGCAATCTGATATAGGTTATACATGTACAATCATGTTAAACATATTTCCACATTAGTCATGTTGTGAAAGAAGAATCAGAACAAAAGGGGAAAACCGTGGTGAAAAAAAGCCAGAGAGAGAGAGAGAGAGAGAGAGAGAGAGAGAGAGAGAGAATAGTATGCTTTGATCTGAATTCAGACTCCATAGTTCTTTTTTTGGATATGTGTATAGCATTTTCCATCACAAGTCTTTTGGAATTGGTTTGGATCATTTTATTGCTGAGAAGAGCTAAGTCTGTCATAGTTGACCATTGCACAGTGTTGCTGTTATTATGTACAATGTTCTCCTGATTCTGCTCACTTCACTCAGCATCAGTTCATGTAAGTCTCTCCAAGTTTTTCTGAAATCTGACTGCTCATCATTTCTTATAGCACATAGTATTCTGTTATATTCTTATACCACAACTTGTTCAGCCATTCCCCAATTGATGAGCATCCTCTCAATTTCTAATTTTTTGCCACCACAAAAAGAGCTGCTATAAATATTTTTGTGCATGTGGGTCCTTTTCCCTTGTTTATGACCTCTTTGGGATATAGACCTAGTAGTGGTATTGCTGGATCAAATGATATGCACAGTTTTATAGTGCATATAGTTCACAAGTCCACTAACAGTGCATTAGTGTCCCAATTTTCCCACATCTTCTCCAGTGTTTATCATTTTCCTTATCAGTTGTATTAGCCAGTTTGATAGGTGTGAGATGGTACCTCAGAGTTGTTATAATTTGCATTTCTCTAATCAATAGTGATTTAGGCATTTTTATGTGACTTCCTGTTCATATCCTTTAGCCATTTATTAATTGGGGAATGGCCTGTATTAATTTAAATTTGACTCAGTTCTCTATATATTTTAGAAATGAGTTCTTTGTCAGAAACACTGGCTGTAAATTGTTTTCCAGCTTTCTGCTTTCCTTCTAATCTTGGGTGCATTGTTTTTGTTTGTGCAAAAACTTTTTTAATTTATTGTAATCAAAATCATCCATTTTGCATTTCATAATGTTCTGTATCTTGATCATAAATTCTTCCCTTCTCCATAGATCTGACAGGCAAACTATTCCTTGCTCTCCTAGTTTGCTTATAGTATCAGCCTTTAAACTTTTGAACATTTAAACATTCTTTAAATATTTGATAGAATTCACTTGTAAATCCATCTGGCCCTGAAGATTTTTTTCTTAGAGAGTTCATTGATGGCTTTTTCAATTTCTTTTGCTAAAATGGGGTTAAATATTTTATTTTCTCTTTTGTTAATCTAGGCAATTTATATTTTTGTAAATATTCATCCATTTCACTAAGATCATCAGATTTATTGGCATACAGTTGGGCAAAATAACTCCTAATTATTGTTTTAATTTCCTCTTTATTGGTGGTCAACTCATCTTTTCACTTTGAAGCATAATATATTCTGTCCCAGCCTTTTACCTTTACTATGTGTGTCTCTCTCTGATTCAAATGTGTTTCTTGTAAACAATATATTGTAGGATTCTGAGTTTTTAATCTACTCTTCCGTCTGCCTCAATTTTATGGGACAGTTCATCTCATTCACATTAACAGTTATGCTTACATGTATTTCCCTTTGTCCTATTTTCTCCTGTTTATTCTTTTCTTTTTCCTTTCACCCTGTCCCTCCCCACAAGTGTTTTACTTCTGACCACCACCTCCCCCTATCTGTCCTCCCTTCTATCAACACGCCCTTTTCTTTCCCCTTTCACCTCCTTTTTCTACCCTCCCTTCTATTAACTCTCCCTTCCATTTTCTTTCCCCTTTCCTCTCCTAGTTCCCTATAAGGTAAGATAAATTTCTGTACCCAACTGAGAGTGTATGTTATTATCTCTTTGACCAAATCCAATGAGAGTAAGGTTCAAACAATGTTTGCCTCCCTCCCTTCTTTCTCTCTACTGTAAAAGGTCTTTTATGGCTCTTCATGTGATGTAATTTACCCTTATTCTGCCTCCCGCTTTCCTTTTCTCCTAGTACAATCCTTTTTTCACCCCTAATTTTTTTTATATCATCACATCAAAGTCAACCCTCTATCTATGTATACTTCTTCTAACTACCCTAATAGTGATGCAGTTCTCAAGAATTATAAGTATCTTCCTATGTAGGGAAGTAAGCAGTATATTATGAATAGCATGTTATCTTTTTCTTTCCTGTTTGCCTTTTTATGCTTCTCATGTGTCTTGTATTTTAAGGTTGAATTTTCTGTTCAGCTCTGGTCTTTTCATCAGGAAAGTTTGAAAGTCCTCTATTTCATTGAATGTTCAACTTTTCCTCTTTTGCTGGTTGTAATCCAAGCTCCTTTAGGGCCTTCTGGAATATCATATTCTAAGCACTCCCATACTTCAATGTAGAAGCTGCTAAGTCTTGTCTGCCACAGTTTCCTCAACTATAAAATGGGAATAATTACAGCATCTATCTCAGAGGCTTGTTGTGAAGATCAAATGAAATATTTGTAAAGCACTTAGCATATTTCCTGGCACATAGGAGGTGCTATATAAAAGCTTATTTGCTTCCCTTCCAAACCAGTCATTTAGATCAGCTTACTACTTATGTGACCTTGAGCAAAAAACTGGGCTACGGTTTCCCCAACTGTGAGATAAAATAGTTGAACATGATCTCTAAGGTCCTTTCCAGCAATAGAATGATCATGCAAACAATGTACAATGAAGTCATGAGGTTTTTTTTCTTTTTCTCTTTGCTCCTTCCCATTCCTGATGTCTGCAGATGTTGATGAATGTATAGAAGAAAGATGTCACCCTGCTGCTACCTGCCATAATATCCCTGGCTCCTTCTCTTGCCACTGCCAACCTGGCTACAATGGAGATGGCTTTCAGTGTTCTCCTGGTAAGACATCAGGGACTGGAGGGGCTTTGGAGTATTAAACTTATATTTTCTTTTATGGCATTATAGGCACTCTCAATTAATAAGAACCTGATGCCTTACTTGCATTGAAGATTATATAAACCCTTAGATTCTTTACACATGTTTGTTTTATTGAATTGAAATGACTTATATTCTATTACTGTAATTTTGTTATTTTGTAGACTACTTCCTTTGTTCTCCCTAAATTAACTTAGAACTTAGCTACACTGTCAAAAAATCTTGGGGCAGCTAGGTGGCACAGAGGATAGAGCACCAGCCTTGAAGTCAGGAGTACCTGAGTTCAAATCCAGCCTCAGACCAAACACTTGACACTTACTAGCTGTGTGACCCTGGGCAAGTCACTTAACCCCAATTGCCTAAAAAAAAAATCTTTAATGATATATCATTAAATACACCATATTATATATCATGTAAGCAAGCAACTTGTCATCAACAAGTATTTATTGTATGTAAACTATGTTCCATGTATTGTCTAAGGATACAAGGAAGGATGAAATCATCTCTGCCCTCAAGGAACTTATATTCTGTCAGGGTAAACAACATGTACACATGTCTTTATAAAATAAATATAAGCTAATTTGGAGGATAAGACACTAGCTGCTGGATTCAATAGGAAGGGCTTTGTGTAAGTGGTAGTAGCATTTGTGATGGGTTTAAAAGGAAACTAGGGATTCTAAGAGGCATAAGTGAAGGACTGCATTCTAGTAAAGGGCATAGACTGTGTAAAAACTTCCTGTTGTGTGTGAGGAAGAATAAGAAATCAGCAAATAAACATTTATTAAGCACTTTATTACTAGGCACTGTGCTATGTTCTAGGGATACTAAAAGGGATAAAAGACATAAAATATATATATATCATTTTATATAAAAATCTGTCTTTTATATCTTCTTCATATAAAAGACAGAGTTCCCTCAAGGAGCTCACAATCTAATGAGAAACAATAAGCAAATAAATATATACAAATAGGGTATATATAGCACTGAATAGAGTTCTAGGCCTGGTGTCGGGAAGATCTGAGTTCAAATCTGGCCTCAGACACTTACTAGCTGTGTGACACTGGGCAAATCACTTAACCCTGTTTTCCTGAGTTTCTTCATCTGTTTAATGAGCTGAATAAGGAAATGGCAAGCTGCGCCAGCATCTGTCCCAAGAAAATCCCAAAAGGGATAATGAGAAGTAAGACATGACTGAAAACAATTAAACAAGAACAAAGAGATGATGTGTCTTAATAGTAAAACAGCCAGAAAACTAGGGTACATGGAGAGGAGTAAGATATAGGGAGACTGGAAAGGTAGGAATGGATAGGTTATGAAGAACTTTGAATTCCAAATGAAGGAGTTTGTATTTGGTCCTGGAAGGAATAGGGAGCCATTAGAGTTTAATGAGTAGGGAGAGTGATATGGTCAGACCTGTGCTATAGGAAATGATTTTGATAGCTTAATGGAGGATGGATTGGACTGGAGAAAGGCTTGAGGCAAGTTGACCCACCAAAAGACTAATGTAATAGTTCTGGTGCGAGGTGATAAGTGCCTGCAGCAGAGTGATGTCACTGTGAGAGGAGAGAAGGGGGCATATTCGAGATTAGTTGCAAAGGGGAAATCAACAGACCTTCTCAACGATTGGATTTGGATGGAGGGCGAGGGTGGAAAGATAGTGAGGGGTCAAAAATGACACCTATGTTGAGAGCCTGATGGTGCTACCCTAGACAACAAGTTAGGGAACAGAGAATTTAGGAGGAAATTGAGGTTTATGGGAAAAGATAGTGAATTTGGTTTTGAACGTGTTGAGTTTAAGATGTTTACTAGACATCCACTTCGAGAGGCAGTTGAAGATACAAGATCAGTAGAGAAGTTGGGGCAGGTTAGGTAGCATATTGGCAACATTGTTATCATAATGGTAACTAAGAGATCATTTGTAAATTTGGAGAGAAACGTTTTCAATGGAATGATAAGGTCAGAAGCTCAATTATAAGACCTTCAGAAGAGAGTGAGAGGAAAGAAACTAGAGGCACATATTATAAATGGCCTTTTCAAAGAGTTTAGCCACAAAGGGAAGAAGACATATAGGATGGTAGTAAGTGGGAATGGAAGGATCAAATGAGTATTATTTTGAGGTTAAGGGAGGCATTGCATGTTTGTAGGGAATGAGCCAGTAGACAAAGAGAGATTGAAAAGAAGTCATAGACCAATAATACCACTGCTTGTATTCCAAAGAGATCATTAAAAAAGGGAAAAGGACCCACACATACAAAAATATTTATAGCAGATCTTTTGTGGTGACAAAGAATTGGAAATTGAGGGGATGCTCATCAATTGGGGAATGGCTGAACAAGTTGTGGTATATGAGTGTAAGAGAATACTATTATTCTATAAGAAATAGTGAGCCGGCAGATTTCAGAAAAACTTGGAAAGACTTGAATGAACTGATACTGAGTGAGTGAGCAGAACCAGGAAAACATTGTACACAATAACAGCAACATTATGTGATGATGGATTTTGTTAGCCTTAGCTCTTCTCAGCAATACAGTGATCTAAGACAATTCCAAAAGACTCATGATGGAAAATGCCATCCACATCCAGAGGAAGAACTATGGAGTCTGAATGCAGATTGAAGCATACTGTTTTCTATTTTTTTGTGTTTTTCTTTTTTTCTTTCTTGTGTTTTCCCCTTTTGTTCTGATTCTTCTTTCACAACATGACTAATGTGGAAATATGTTTAATATGATTGTACATCTATATCAGATTTCATGCTGTCTTGGGGAGTGGGGAGGGGAGGTAGGGAGAAAAATTTAGAACTCAAAATTTTATAAGAGTGAATGTTGAAAACTAATAATTAATTAAAATTATATATATATTTTTTCCTTTTTAGGCTATTGAGGTTAAGTGACTTGCCCAGGGTCACATGGTTAGTAAGTGTCAAGTATTTGGTCTGAGGCTGGATTTGAACTCAAGTCCTCCTGACTTGAGGGCTGGTGCTCTATCCTCCTAGCTGCCCCCTTAAAATTATATTAAAAAAAAAAGAAGTCATAGGGCAGGGATGATGGGGGTGAGGGAGTAAGAGGTTTGACTTAGTAAGAAGTAAAGCCACTTACAGTTGCAGATAGCAATATGAATGATATGAGATAAGGAATAGGGAAGAAAAGGAATAGGGAAGAAAAGAGGATTCACAGCAAATGGCCTCAATTATTTTTCTGTTAAATAGGAAGCAAGTTTTTTTTTAATATTCCTTTTTTATTATTATGAATTTGAAAAATACCGACAAATACAAACATTTTCATACACAAAGAATATAAGAAGATTAAATTTGAAACTGAACATCTGTTACATACAGCTTGTTTTTTCTCTTTTTAAATATATAACAAATTCACCATGTTAGTTCCAAAGTTGTCTGGCTTGTCTCTGACATCCTCTGAATTTCCTTCACTGATGTCCTTTTCTTTCTTTCCTTCTTTCTTTTTTTTGCTAGTGGGATCTGAGCACTTTTTCAATGATTGATGGCTTGAATTTCATCTTCTGCAATTTTTCTGTTCACATCTGTTAAGGATGGTTTTTGTTCTCATACATTTGGATCAGTTCTCAGTCTGTTTATCTTGCAGTTTATCTTTGTCAGATAAACTCGCTACAAAGAATGTTTTCCATTTAACACTTTAATTTGAGCTTATTTATGCAAAAGCTTTTCAATATCCACACCCCCCACCCCAGCCTTTTCTTTATGATGTAAATTTGTTTGGGCAAAGGAGTTGTTTCCCCAGGTTTCCCACATTTAAACCCTTCCTTTATAATTTGATTTTGTCTTTGCTAAAGTAATTCGAGATTTCCCCAGTTAACCCTTTCTTTCCTAATCTGATTTTGTTTATGCAAAAGGAGTTCCGTTTTCCAATATTCCCCTTATTTTACCCTTTCTTTTATAATTTGATTTGGTGTCTTCAAAAAATTTTATTTTTTTATAAATTCTCCTTCCCATTTAACATTTTCCTTTATAACTTTGGATGAATTGATTTTGTTTCTGCAAGTTTCCCCCACCCCCTCACCGACTTTATGTAATTAAAATTGTCCGTTTTATTCTCTGCGATTGTCTGTACCCCTGATGGGGTCAAGAGTTCTTCCTGTGCCTATCCATAAAGGTGACTGCTTTCCTGCACCTCTTGTGCTGTATGATCTGCCCTTTGCAATCTGTCTTGCAGGTGGGCAAAGTGAGGCCCAGAGAGACGGTGGTGGCCCCAGCTCTGGCTCTCTAGCCGCCCTCTCTCACCACCTGCCCCAGAGCAGTTGCCCAGCAAGTTTCTTAATAGAGAGGATGGTATGGGGGGGAAGCATGGAAGATATGAGGAGGTATAACAGTGTTTGCAACAGGAATTGTAAAAAGTGAGATAGTGAGTTCATAAAGCACATATGGTGGGATTGTTTAGCAGAAGTGAGTTCCCAGTTAAGGCTGTGTCATATAAATTTGTAATGAACCCAGTCAGAATGGTCATGTGATTTTCACAACCTTCATTCAGCAGCACAGGTATAGGAATGAAGGTGGTGAATAGTGGGAGTAATCCAAGGCTGAGGTTTAGCAGGGAATAATTGGTGAAATTATAAGGGGCCTAGGAACTCAAGAGAAGAGAACAAGGTGGAGTTAAATTGTTCACCAATAAATCAAGATAGGAAAAAGAGGAGAAAGTGCAGGAGACATGATCTGGGACAGCATTGAAGGAGTCGAGGATTTGGAGGTCATAGCATGGACAAGCAGAATTTTCTAAGGGAAGACAGGAGGAGAGGTGAGAAGCCAAGAGATTGTGGCTGGAGAAGGGATTTCAGAATTTTAAAACATGGAGGTGGTACATTTATGGGTAATGAAAAGATCAAGATGTGATGAACTTTGTGTGTGGCTGAGGTGTGGTGTAGGAGTAGGTCATGGTGGAAGTGAGTAGGTTGAAGAACTGAATGGTTAGGGCGTTTGAGGGAGAGTCAATATA